TCTCTCTCTCTCTCTCTCTCTCTCTCTCTCTCTCTCTCTCTTTCTAAAATTTCCCATTATAGAATAGTTGGTCAGACACCACGCACCCACAATGGCACAAATCAAACTGGGTCTGCAACAAAGCATTCATGAGACAACTTACCTGACAGGCTGCCAACTCTTACCACTGAGAAAATACATGTTTTCAAGACCGTAACTGGTAACTGGGTACGCTAACAATTTGCTTAGCAACGCAGGTATTTACTCCAGATTTTTTTCCACGACTTCTGTCGAAGCGTTATTGTTATTACGTTAAGACGGTGTTACAAAAATAAACAGAAATGATATAATATAAACACGTACCCTGGTCAGCTTGGCGTTGAAGCATCGGCTCAACAATTCGAAAGACAGCACCTCCGAAACCTCTGAGCTCCCTCCTGCGTTGGGCACAGTGAGGATTCGGTTACCTCCTGGTGTCAGCTGCATAGCCTTCATTGTCCTAACTGGCAAGAAGTTGGTGACCACAATCCCCGCTGCGTTTGTGTTATGAACGAGAGTCGTCAGTTTATACCACTGGCGCATTTGTAAAGCAAAGTTCTCTCCCACATATAGCGTGCAAAGATCTCGGGGAGATGAAGAAAAAGTTCTTGTCAGCGTGGATTTGCTGACAACGGTATCCCCACTCTTGATTGAGAGGCTTTTTACAAGGGGCGCTTGAACTAGTTGAGTCACCGGAACTACTATTATCGGATTTCCCCGAAACTCGGGGCGCTCGTTGTCGTCGGCCTGTGGATCGCGTTCGCGTTCGATTTGTCATCTTCATTTGTCTAAAACTTGAAGTTTAAGGTACCTTTTGCTCAAAGAAGAATTGAAAAACTTCTCCTCAAAGAAGGATAATCACATATAGATTTGTTCGAGTCGGCTGTTTTGAGATGTTTCAAAGTGATGCAACAATCGAGAGAGACCCGTTGTTTTATACTGGAAAATAATCTCAAAATAGAATGCACGTAAACTATCTATTTTTAGAAGGCTGATTCATTTACGAAAATACCCCCTCTAAATTTGTTTCATGATGTTTTCATCATGTAAATGTAAGGTACCATAGGTACCATCTGTGTGAAGTTACTTATTACAACAAATATCTCTATATTTACTAAAAGGAAACGTCTTTGGGTAGGGGAGAAGGCTATTTCATTTGGAAGAGGCTAGCCGTACTTAATGATGGCTAGACTAGCAGTCTAGCCGTACTTATTCTTAATATGATGGCTAGACTGACCATTTACAAAAAATAGGCCTACTGAATTGTAAATATACATTTTTAGTGTGCAGTACCTAAAGCATTTGTATTTGAGACGAAACCAAGTGCCTTAATGACAGTGTATGTATTTTAAACCTCCTGTTTTCTAATGTTAATAGGGCCTAAGATAAGTACGGCTAGACTTCTTGTCTAGCCGTACTTAAGTACGGGTAGACAGTCAGGCTAGCCGTACTTAAGGACGGCTAGACTGTCAGGCTAGCCGTACTTAATATTGATGGCTGAATTGTAAATGAAATTTTTAGTTTGCAATGCCAAAAGTATTTGTATTTCAGACAAAACCAAAAGGTGCCTTACTGACTTGCATGTATTTGAACCTGAATAATTACTAGATCTAGATAGGGTTAGGGTCAGGGTTAGGGTCAGGGTTAGGGTTAGGGTTAGGGTTGAAGAGTTAGGGTCAGGGTTAGGGTTAGGGTTAGGGACCAAAGCGAAACATACCTTAGGCTTTGAAAAGCGCACATCGGAATTAAACGCGGAAATCTTGACAATCGCCGAAATTTTTAGTTTGCAATGCCAAAAGTATTTGTATTTCAGACAAAACCAAAAGGTGCCTTACTGACTTGCATGTATTTGAACCTGAATAATTACTAGATCTAGATCTAATGAGACATGTGTACTTAACAGGTTTTAGTCGATTGGGCCAAACCTAGATCTAAGTACGGCTAGACTGGCAGTCTAGCCGTACTTAAGTACGGCTAGACTCTCAGTCTAGCCGTACTTAAGTACGGCTAGCCACTTCGATTTCATTTCTATATCCTATCACTCTCTGAACGTTGTGGAAAAGCGTGCGGGAGAGAGAGAGAGAGAGAGAGAGAGAGAGAGAGAGAGAGAGAGAGAGAGAGAGAGAGAGAGAGAGAGAGAGAGAAGAGGACAGGGAAAATTTACATGTTTCTAAAGCAGGGACCTCTGCAAGTAAAATTGTTTAATAGAAACATATAGATCTAGAACGATAACAGTTAATGAGTTCCTTTTGACCCTGACTGTGGTTTCTCTGCCTTAGTTGCAGAGTCAGAACAAGGGGCTGGATATTAAAAGACCACTTTTTCCCGATGAAAGAGTGCTAAATTTGCTGTAGTTATTAGAACATTATGTTTCATTTTTATAACAATATTCCACGAGTTGGTGTAACATGACAACTGGCAGTCGTGGCAATAGTGGCCATTTTGAAAATTTAAGCAAAAAATAGTGGGACTTCTACTTTTTATATTCATTTCAAAAGTACTTGTATTGTGATTAGCTCAAGTTTTCTATTTGCATTTTTTCAAGTTCCTCATTTTGCAAATAAATTGCAACTTTTAACATCAGAACACAGCTTTTCTTCGAGGGGTGCTTCAACTTCAAAAGTTGCAGATGTCAGCTCCTTGTTTTGATATCAATTTGCTTTTTATCAGTTTCAGAAAAATCACCTGAGCAAATAGGTGGCTGGTGGATGCTCTGGTGTGGTTCGCACCTTCTTCCCAATTAGATAACTATCCTCCTTATCTCTCTTCATTCTTTGCTTTGTATGTTTCTCTCTTGTAACTTCTCTAATCTTCAGCACTTATAATTGTAGTATCTAATTGTTTTGCAAGAGCCATGAAACTTGCTTTAACTTACTTTACTCACTCTCTCCCCATACCGCCAGATACACAAGACGGAGAGCAGTCGACACCATGCTTGTCTGTCCCTGGTCACATTCTCCAATCTCGGCTAATCCAGGCCATGGGTGATTTGCCTCATCCCTAATTGTGCCTCTATAGCCATAGCTCTCAGTTGGTCTACCTCTTCTTCTTTTTCCATTATATAATAGAGCAATCTTGCCTTCGGCATTCTCAGACCATGTCCTAAATATTTCCATCTTCTCCTTTTTATGGTTGTGTTGATGTCTTCAATTCCAGCTCTTTCAAACACTTCATTGTTTGTAATAAATTTATTCCATTTTATTTGTAAAATTCTTTGTAAAAACATTTTGCTTGGAAGCTTTCTAATTTCCGTTGAATTGCTTTGTCTGTTTTCCATATCTTTGAACCATACATCAGTACAGCCAAACATTGCCAGTTTATATTTTAAATTTTGTGTTCAAGCTTTACGGCACTTGCAACACATTAAAGTCATATAAGTGCCGAAGAATAGATGTGTTACAAGAGAGTACCATACACAAAGAAGAAGAAAAGATAAGAACGATAGATGTTCGATAGGAACGAAGGAGCAAACAACACCAGACCACCCACCACCTTTGTCCGACACCTATCACTTCACAATACATCTGAACAACAAAGCTAAGGCTTGAGAAAGGCAAAGTCAGGTTCTGCATAGAAAATGTCACAACAGATCAACGCCAGGCCCAGGCTATATCCGTGTGTCAACGTAAATCAGCTAGCCCCTTTTCAAATCAATTTTACATCATGGGGTGGACGTAAACAGAGGAGTTGAAACGGGGAATCAGGCTTACTCAGCTCACCTCTCTAGCCTCAATAACACAAAGTCTACTTCGACTATCAAGGCACCCCGGAAATAGCGGGTCACAAGAGAGTGACAAACACGCAAAAAGAAGTAGAGGAGAATGACGATAGTAAGGATGAGGAAAGAAGAAGCAGCAGTTACATCAGAAAAGCAAAGGCAGGCAACAAGAGGAGGCAAGACACTCAGAATACTCACACAGCATCTTTCTGTCTCCACATACACAGGGTAAGTACTTAAAGAAAGCAGTCAACTGATGTGTAAAACAAAATTTTTATTCCGTTCACGTCTATTGATCACATCAGAAACAATTATTCATTATAATCATAATCAACACATTCAGTCACAGGCATTCTGGGAACCAAACCAAACAAAGATGTGCTCTGAAGATATTAATGCAGGTGGAAAAACAACACGAATAACCAAGCCTTGAATGTAAACATTGAAGAAAACACAAACAAATATCATATACACTTTGACTGCCAAAATGCTGGAGTAAAATGTAAAACTCATTCTCAGCCCTATCGTGTCAGGTTACTATTTCCTCAAGTTTTGAACAGTTTCTAAATAAAAAGAATCAGAGAACTCTTTACAGCATGTACCAATTCTCTGACCTGTCATTTGGGGCCACTATCTCAAGTTTAGTACAGTTTCTAAATAACAAGAATAGAATACTTTTTACCGCATGTACCAATTCTCTGACCTGAATGTGCATAAGAATGACGCCTGTCCTCTACTTGGCTGTATAAGTAGTGTCCTTAAAATGTACGACCAGCAGGTCGGGGTAATACCGATAAAAAACCACTTCATGTCATTCGTTCATGTGACAACAGCAGTAACACTCTGTGCCCACTTCAGGCAGGAGAGCAATTTTTAAAAATGAAGGAAAAAAGATGAAAACGATGACGATGATGATAATGACAACGATGACTTCTTGAACCAAGTATCACAAGTCTCATGAGAATTTGCATTTGGAGAAATCCATCTCCGGATGTTGATTCATGAATCTGGGGAGATCAGAAGAAAACAGAACTGAGAACAATATCGGTTGAGGAATGGGGGGGAGGGGGGGAGAGTAATTATGGAAGGAAGACTGAAATCACATGGAACAAACAACAGACTACATGCTGAAAAACATTAATCTTTTCTACCGCGCTGCAAAATTACGTGAGCGGCACCTCTCACAACCTCTGGCATTGAGCGATGCAGCATGAGTGCAGTCACTTGAGCAATGCTTAGCTTCAGCCCACGCTTATGGATGGTTTTACTGTGAATTGATAACGCCACATCAAAGTTAATTGTCAGTCCACTTTGTTCGATTTGGTGTATCAAAGACAAACATTCTTTCTTTGATCATTCTTTTTTTGTTTTTGCATGAGAACATGACATACAGAGGCAAATCAGCTTTTTTGTACAATGTTTCAAGTTGACAAATCAGCTTTTTCGTTCAAAGTCTGAAGTTGACAAATCTAACTTTTCTGTAGTCTTGTTGCATGACGGTACCCATGGCAAAAAACCTTTTACTACTGCACAAATGAGATTTTAGGTCACCATTTCGCTAATTGTTCTGGTGATGAAATTGATTTTGCCACAGTTGATATTGACATAGATAATGCTACAGTTTATTATATTGACATAGATAATGCTACAGTTTATTATATTGACATAGATAATGCTACAGTTTATTATATTGACATAGATAATGCTACAGTTTATTATATTGACATAGATATAATTATTACAAAGATTCAGTTTATTATTTGAAGATGTACAATATCCCTTTGATTGAAATTTGGATGCAGCTGTCAGTGAGTTTAGAGTGAAGACTTAGATTCACTCTAGATCTGCTCTATATCAAGGTCAACCAGTTAAGTTCAAGCAGTGGTAATGATGACAGGCCTACTGGTAGTTGCGTACATATATTCAGACTCATGGTAGGCATAAATGACGATATACAAACCCACACACTGCTGTAAAATATACTTCTGTCTTCATGTGATAATTTCATTGTAGTTTTATTTAATTTCCTGGCTGTAATAAGAGCTGATACTGTTTTATATGTGCAAAAAGAACATTATGGGTTAGTTTTAACAGAGGTTTTACGGCGCTCGCAACTGCATAAGGTCATATGAGTGCCAGAAGATTAGAGGTGTTACAAGAGAGTAACAAACATAAAAAAGAAAAAGGGGAGATAAGGACGATAGATGTTCGATACAAGAAAAGAAGAAGCAAACCACACCAGAGCACCCGCCAACCACCCACACATTACGGGTTAGTGTTTGTGGACCACATCAAACCCTGCAGGTAATCTTACCAGGGTTTGACCTCATTTCAGAGGTCAGGTCGGCCAACGAATAAATGATCCTTGGACAACAAAACTTACTTTTTGAGAACATCTTGTTTCTTCTGCTCATCAGAGGTCGGCAAGCCCATTTCCTTCTGTCTTTGATCGAACATCATTTTCTCCACCATCGACCTCGTCTCTCCATCAAGATCAGACAGCTGAGGGCCAAAGAAATCAAACACAACATGTGAGCATGCCCCGGATAGCGACAACTGTAACAACACGCATCAGACAACATGGAAACGTGAACCTGATAGCAATAGCGATAATTGTTACAATACACATCTGACAAAATGTGAACGTGCCCAGCGGAGTTAAGTTTTATTTTAGTGAGAGTTTCACGGCAATTGCAACACAATAAGGTCACATAAGTGCCAAAGATTAAAAGTGTGACGAGAGAGTAAAAAACATAAAAAAGGAGGAGAGATAAAGGCGATAGATGTTTGATAGGAAAGAAGGAGCAAACCACACCAGAGCACCTGCCAACCACCCGCGTGCCCTGAGCAGCTACAACTGTTACAGTACACATCTGACAACATATCAACGTGCCCCGGGTAGGAACAACTGTTACAATACACATCAGACAACATATGAACATGTCCCGGGTAGCAACAACTATTACAGCACACATCAGACAACATATGAACGTGTCCCGGGCAGGAACAACTGTTACAATACACATCTGACAACATATGAACGTGTCCCGGGTAGGAACAACTGTTACAATACACATGGAACAAAAGGGGCAAAAGCTGAAGGGGAAAGTACAGTCAAACCTGCTCCAGCAACCACCTGTCAAGACGACGAAAGACCGCTTCTCCTTCGCGTTTTTATCTCAGTAACGATATTTAGACGACCACCTATCCAACGTGCCAACAACCGCTGTATTTTTTCAACCAACAGCCCAAAACATCTAGACCAGGACGACCATGCAAATCTCTCATCACCAGAAGAAAAACCCAAACCCCTGACCTGCCCATGACAATCACTTTTCTCCTTGATAATTGGTGGTCATCTAAGACAGGTTCGATAATATACTTATGAAAAACTTTTCCCCACTTCTGGTGAGAGGCTAAAATTTCCCGGTGGGCATAGTCTCAGACTAATTAATTGAACACCAAATTTTGAGTTATAGCCCTCCCAGGTTCAGGACAGTGTTTGGATATTTTCTTCAACTTGGATGTCAGGTCATGCACTACCTAGCTGCAACCCATGGAACCCTAAACAAACAGAAAAGTAGGCATTGCATGCAAAGAGGTGACATACAAGCTACACATGTTGCAATATTTCATCATATCATATTTTCATCAACTCTTGATAGCTTTGTGAAATTGCACCTCCGAGTAAAAGTAAATTTAAGGACAAAAATCACATGCTGTTGACCATCAGGGAAATAAAACCATCGTTGTTTACCATGATTATAACAAAACCAGTTGCTGATCATCCCTACAACTACATTAATGGCTCACAGTCCCAGCTACCAAAGCCAACCATTCGTCAGGCCAGCAATTTTGCATGCGAGCAACGTCAACTTGGGTCTTCTTACCTTGGAATTCTCTGGGGTGACTTTCTTGGTGTTGATCTCAGGATCTGTGGTGACCACACGACTCCACCACTCCATCTGGTTCACCTGGGGAAAACGCAGAGAGAGAGAAGAAGTTGTCATTGTTGTTATCCATCGATGACAGACAAAATGAGAGCTACTGTGCCTGGTGCATTTACAGAACAGTACATTCCAGCACAATGGTTTTGTTTAAAAGGAAAAAACAATAAAATCAAATAACAAGAAACAAGTAAGTAGCTTATATATAGGCATATATAAGTTAAAAGTACAAGTCCATACATACTGAATTACATTCAAAGGAGCACTAAAAGTATATCTTGAGTGCTAAATTTTATGAGAGCACCCCCCCCCCCCAACCCACACACAATTGTTTCTGCAATTGCAATCCACTGCGATAAAACTATTGTTTCTAAAGGTATCCCTTAAAACAGGATTCCCCATGTGCAGCAGCAATGGACGAATTGTGAGCGCGGGGAATCCCTGTATGTGCAAGGAGCATAATGTGTTAACACCTGTTATTACACTGTTACTCCATTCAAAGGTCATGAAATCCTACATTATTTTGTACATCTTTTCACACAAGTAAACAGTGATTTAAATAAAGCAATAAATGTCAACAGTGATCCCATATTACTGCCACTAGGGGCCCAAGGAGTACTCTACAGTACCACCACAGTAAGGGTCATAACACCATCACATGATTTCCTCTTGTCAGCCAGACATAAGACATGGAAACTAATCTTACAGCCCCCCCTCCCCATCATCTACATACCTTTTCAATGTTGATCAGCACGACTTTCTTGTCCTGTATGCACCAGGTAGACTCCTCCACTTTGACGTCGTTGTACATGGTGCCCTCCAACAATGGCGGCTGTCCCTTCAGGGCCACCGAGATTTTCTGCACAATACATACACATACATATTATATATACTGTAATATGCCAATAATAACCCTGTTTATCACACTTTTAGCATATAGATGTCTTAAATTTACACTGTTGAGGGTGGTGACGGCCAAGACACCAATGACACTGGTTAGATCTAGACCCAGATTGCTGTGCTTGACGGGAAGTTGCATCAGATGCTCTTGGGTAGTGTGGCGTTGTTTAGCTAGATTTAGAACCTAGTCTGCTGTTACTTTGTAACGAATTCACAGAGGCTGTGGGGTCTAGTGCTCTGGCAGTTTCATCTGTCTGTTGAATCGACGTTGCGAGCTGGATGGCCTTGTCTAGAGTTATGCCAAAAATACCAAATAGCCGGGCATCAGACGGTAGTGGGAACAACACTCAGATGTTGGCATGGCACTAAACTAGACAATCATGCCCGAGGCTAGTGAGAGCATGTACATACACTTGATACTCTTCGGGGCTGCAAAAACACCCACAGGATGGTCTCAAACCCACATGGAACTTCTTCTAACTCATAACTTAATAAAGATAATTTCAATAGCTTACACAATGACACACTTCCTCCATATGAGCTCAGTCAATGAAGCAACAATCCTTTCCAACTTGTCCCTCTGATACTTTAGCCTGTACCATGATGTTCATCTAAAATTTTTTAAAGCTTTTTTTGAGTTAAAGAGCAAGAATATCTTCAGCCAAAAGCCCACCCAGAATAATAAAAAGAAAATCTTACCGTGATACATAAGATAGAACCACAAGGAAAATTCACAGACAGTATGTGGTTTTAAGCTTCACAAAACAGTTGGGAAAATACAAAAATCCACACAACTCTCTAAACACTCACCTTCTTCTCAATGTTGACCACCAGATCTTTTCCTTTCAGGGGAAAACTCACGTTGAATGGGACACGGATCTGTTTAGAGGTATAGATGAAAATGAAAGTTGCGCACAGAAAATTTGACTATCATGATGTTGCATTTTTGTCATTGACTTAATGAATCTCTCAATAACTATGAACCATCTATACATGTGCAATACTTGGAAAGCATTTTTATCTCACTCATGAAAAGATTCCCTTAAAAAAAAAAAAAAAAGAAAAAAAGAAAGAGACACAGTAAGAAACCGACACAAATGACCAGACTATCAGTAACCCTGTACAATCAAATACGAGACGATGACATCTTTAACGTACCAAGGTTGGCGTACATCATCACAAAAAGAAGTAAAACATTAGAACACATATTGCCAAATATAAATATGAAAGAGCAAACAGCAGACACCAAATTTAGTTTTAGTAGAGGTTTTACGGCGCTCGCACAGCATAACGCCATATGAGCGCCAGAAGATTAGAGGTGTTACAAGAGAGTAACAAACATAAAAGAGAAGAAGGGGAGATGAGGACGATAGATGTTTGACAGGAAAGAAGAAGCAAACCACACCAGAGCACCCGCCTACCACCTGTATATACCACATGACCAACCATTACACATGCTATTTATTAATTATTATTATTATTATTATTACACATCACACAGTCTAACATCGTACAGGAAACCCTGAAACATTCTGGTCCAACTGTCTCTTACCTCCACTTCCTGCAGGGTTTGTGTCCAGCTGTAGTTTGGCAAGTCTGCACCATTACCAGAATTGGGTTTTATCTTTCCCTTGTCTTTCTCATCTTCTTCCTCATCGTCACTAGCGGCCTGGGGGGAGAAAAAAATTGTCTATGAAGACAAAAACAGTAGCAAACTCAATTTGAAGCAGTCCAATCATATTATTACCCAGCCACAGGAGAACATATTAGAACATACATTCAACCGCGCCAATATCTGTTTGTAAAAGTAAAACCTCTTATCATTGGTTCCCACATTTGTAAAACCTCTAACCATTGGTTCCAAAAACTTTGAGTTGTAGTCCAGTTGCAGGTTGTGGCCACTGAGCATAATCACTGCCACATTTTTAAATATTTTTTTTTAGTAAAGGGTTTTACGGCGCTCGCAACTGCATAAGGCCATATGAGCACCAAGGGGTGGGTGTCAACAGAGAAGTCTTTACAGGGAATCAGACTTACTCTGCTCACCTCTCTAGCTTCAACAGCAAAAGGTCTGCTTCAACTGTCAAGGCACCCCGGAAATAGCAGGTCACAAGAGAGTGACAAACATACAAAAGAAGTAGAGGAAACGATTATAGTAATGATTAGGAAAGAAAAAGCAGCAGTTCCCTGTTGTAGTTCACGCTTGAACGAGAAATGTCCCCCCTTTGAGAATGGCCTAAAGACACTACAGTCAGTGGCACTGCCCCGGGGGGGGGGAAGTCACATTTTGTGAGGAAGAGAGCAGCAATATCATTGAAAAGAAGTGGAAGGAGCAGGCAACATCAGGAGCACACACCAACCACATGCACTACTGCTGTGACCAATTTAATGGGTGCACAGACTTTCTTTAAAAAATCCCCCCCAAAAATAAAATAATCAGGAATGATAGAAAACAATATATAATTTAAATAAATGGCCCCTAATTTTTAAAAATACAATGTGTTTCACCGAATACCAACCCTCCCTCCCATCACAAACACAATGGCGTAGAATATTTTCCAATCAAGTCTCTCAGTCTCTCTGAAACAACATCTATACACACTGAGCAAAACACAAACAAAACCATTCCCTACAGAAGCCTACAGGCTATCTAGATATCCTCACCTTGCCATCTTCTGGGGTTTCTTCCTCCTTGTCAACAGTTTCTCCATTTTGCTTCTGAAGAAAAAGAAAAGGCAATAAAATTTTAAAAAGTACTATGGGAAAATATATCGCAGCCACGAAAAGACAATCATCAGAGGATAGCACCTGTCTCAGTAAAATTTCTTTTACGGCACTAGCAACACAATTATGTTGTGTGAATGTAAGTGCCAAAGATTTGAGGTGCGTAACAAGACAGTAACAAACACAAAAAAAGGAGGAAGAAAGATAAGGACAGTAGATGTCCAACAGAAAAGAAGGAGCAGACCACACCATAGTGCCCACCATCGCTGATTGCTTCAAACTATGACCCATGTTTTTAAAATGTTCTCATTGGCCTAGGCAAAGCAACAAGCATTTCTGAACACCTTGTCTAACGAATGTTTACCTTACGCCTGGCTTTGGTGCAACTAATGTTCTGTCCCCGTCGTTTTATGCAAGAAAAATTCAGAAATGATGGAAACTGAGCCCAAAAATGTGAAATTATGCAATCCTGCTAATTTTAACAAAGAACAATAAAGGAAAATAATCAGAAATTATGTGAATAATGATCAAATTTTGCTAAATTAAGCGGGGTGCATAAAACCAGCGGGACAGAATGTTTTTCTAGGGGCATAGTGACACTGTGCAACTATGGTACTATGGGCTCTGTGTAGAGAAGAGTCAGTTGCATGTGACCCTGTGAGAAAATGTAGACAGTCGGGTCTGATTGTTTATCTTAATTTTTATTGCTGGAGGGTGGGGATGGGGAAAGTCGAACAGCAAATATATTTGCAAAAATCCGAATCAGGGGAGTTACGATTGCACTTTCGTAAAATTGAACAAAAGTAGAAATGATTCGGTCAAATTTATTACGATTGCAGCCATGCTATATGCACCCTTCAATGCTCTTCATCTTCCAGAAAAAATTACACAATCAGGCACATCATTCATCATGCACTTTGCCTACTTCCTGAAAAAAATTAGAGTGAAAAAATGAACAATAATGATGAAATGGTATCAGTTCATCACCAGTATCAACACTATTAGGTTATCTAAGATGTGGGACCTTTAAGTTTCCTGCCCATCTCCAGAAGGACCGAACCAAATGTGAAATTCGTGTAAAGTGCCTTTTCCCAAGGACACAATGTCAGACCGAGCTGAGGCCAACCCTCCCCCCCCCCCTCCTCCAAACCAGTAATCTCAAGATTACGGGTCAGGGGTAGCCTAACTATTTGGCTACAAACGCTACTGAAACGAGAAAAGAATGAGACAAAACCAGCAAACAGAATGAG